TATTTAAATGCTCAAAGGATTATGAAATAAGAAATAGCCCTTTTTCTGGGTCATTACAACCAGTTTTATAATTTCAAATATTTGAATTAATCTTTTTATTTTGATTTAAGTCAATACTTAATCAAATATTTCATTTATCAAGATTTTTATAAACCAAAAGATGGCGCAATCAAGTTTATATTTAATAAATGTTGCTGGATCAATTATATACCACACATAATTGCTATATTTCTTTCACATAAATAATATTCTTTCTCACTTCTTATTATTATTGATGATAATGTTTATTGTAAAATAATTTAACAATTTTTGAGGTTTTTTTCTATTTCATGATTGATTATTCCATAAGCCGTATATTTTTAAAAAATATTTTATAATTAAATAATAATGTTTTATGCCTGCTTTAGTCCAGCATTGTCTTTGTCATGAGGTCAATTTTATAAATTTAATTTTTAATATTTTAAAGATTTTTAAAAACAACAGTTTCTGTAGCTTTAACAATTTTACCATTATAATTTATCTTTATTATGCATTGGGATAAATAATATTTCATAAATTTACTATTAATTTTACTCATAAGAACACAATACAAAAATTCAAAAAAATCTTAATAAAATCAATAAAAATAAATTTGTTTTACATTTAACTCAACACAAAATAATATTCTTTCTATGAAACAAAATTATTTGACTTTTTTGTTTGTATAAAATCTAATTCACCTATCTCCTAAAAGTGAGCTTGTTTTTTGAAATAATTGATAAACTTAGTATTTTTTAATTTATTGTTAAAATATTTTGATAACCTTTTCCCTCCAATTTCACCGCCAATTAGAAGAAAATTAAATAAAATATTTTAACTTTACTTAAAAGTTCACATAAATCAATAATTCTAATAAATTCAAGCATTTAAATTTAATTTAAAAATAAACGATACATCAAATATTCATTTTTATATTTCAATTAATCAACCTATAATCATAAATATACCAAAAGTATACCCATATGGATAAGCTACTGTTTTCTGAACTCAAAAATATTGACACTGAAGTGTATAAAATAATAAAAGATGAAGAAGAAAGACAATTAAATTGTATTGACTTGATTGCAAGTGAAAATCTAGCTCCGATAAGTGTTCAACAAGCAAAGGCATCAATTTTATGTAACAAGTATTCTGAAGGCTATCCAGGTAAAAGATATTACGGCGGAAATGAAAATGTTGATAAAATTGAATTATTATGTATGAAAAGGGCTTTGGAAGCCTTTGGGTTGGATTCTTCTGAATGGGGTGTTAATGTTCAAGTACTTTCTGGTACACCTGCTAATTTTGCTGTGTATACTGCATTGGTAGGTCCCGGTAACAAAATTATGGGAATGGATTTACCATCTGGTGGTCATTTAAGTCATGGATTTCAGAGCAAAAAATCAAAGGTATCTGCAACCTCTCTTTTCTTTGAATCAAAGCCTTATAAACTTACAGGTGATTCTATTGATTATGATTATGTAAAGAATGAGGTAAAAGATTTTAAGCCAAAAATGCTGATATGCGGTGCAAGTGCTTACTCAAGGGATTTTGATTATAAAAGATTTAAGGAGGCAGCTGATCAAGTAAATGCCCTTCTTTTAGCAGATGTGGCACATATTTCTGGACTTATTGCAGCTAAACAAATGAATAGTCCTTTTGAATATTGTGATTTAGTAACAACTACTACACACAAAAGCATGAGGGGGCCAAGAGGAGCATTAATTTTTTATAAAAAGAAAAAAATAGTAAATAATGAGGAAATTGATATTGAATCATTAATAAATAGGGCTGTCTTTCCTGGGCTGAGTGGGGGACCTCACAATGACACAATTGCAGCGATAACTGTTGCTTTGGGGATGTTAAAAAGTGAAGAATTTAAAGAATATGCCAAGAAAATAATATTTAATGCAAAATTAATGGCTGATTATTTTATTAAAAAGGGATTGTATTTAGTTACAAACGGAACAGATAATCATACAATTCTAATTGATTTAGCTAATATGAACATATCTGGGCTAAAAGTGCAAACAATATGTGATTATGTTAATATTACAATAAATATGAATTCAGTTCCTTCTAATCCTAATTGTCTCAATCCTTCGGGAATAAGATTGGGTACATGCTCAATAACCTCTCGAAATTTCTCAGAAGAAGATGTTTTGAAAGTAGCTGAGATCCTTTATGATTCAATATCTATTGCTAGGTCTATTGATGATGAGTGCAAATCTATTTTAAAAGATGACTCATTGAAGAATTTTATAAATTTGATGAGTAAAAATGAGAAATTAAATAATCTCAAAGATCATGTCACGGGAATAGCACGTAAATATCCTATTCCAGTATTCAAGTTTTAAATAAAAATTATTGAAAATTTATATGTGTAAAAATTCCGCGTCCGGGATTCGAACCCGGGCCGTCGGCGTGAGAGACCAAAATCCTAACCACTGGACCAACACGGATGTTAGTATTCATTTGTTATTATATAATTCTATTTTTTGTATTTGATTTTTTTAGTTTAATTTTTTAATGCTAAATTTTTGTAATTCTTTTTTTAAGATTTTTCTTTTTGATCCCATATTTTTATAAAAATTAAAAATTCTTAATATTGAATCACAAAAGAATTAGATGATTATATGTATGTATACACAGATTTATAATGTTTAGCAAATGAGAAAATATTTAGACGAAAAACTATGGTTGTAGCTTTGATTATTTTGCAAAAATATAAATAAATATAATCAAATACAAGATAATATTTTATTTACATTATAAACATTAAATAATTCCGAAGGTATTTTTAAGTTAAAAATTTTTTTCATTTCTTTTCTTTATAAATTCATTGTATTCTGTGAGGTAGATTTTTATAGAAGTAAAGGTTTTGTTGATTTATTGATATTTATATTAATTTAATCAGATTATAATATTTGAAATATAAATTTATTGAATCCTAAAGATGAAAAATTATAGTTGTAGGGAATTTAATTTTATAGTTCTATAATATTTTTAATTTGACAAAAAAATTGATAGATGATATATATATTAGAGAATATGATCTTAATTAATGCAATACATGCAATTATGCTATTTGGATTACCAAATGAAAGAAATTTTATAAAAATGTTTCTTAAATTAATTAAGATAGCATTTTAAATATGAACCCAAAAGATAAAAAATTTGTTCCTTAAGCAATATAAATATTCAATTTATTAAAATAACCATCAAAATATGAAAATTCCTTTAAGCTTCTTATGCCAATGCAAAACTTGGCTATAAATTTTTATAGTTATTTTATTGGCACTTCTGATTAATTTATGTTCTCATATTAAAATTTTATATCACCCGTGTCGATATTAAAGAAACAATTTATAAAGGAATATAAAATTTAATTTAAAAATCAGATTTTTTTAAAAATTTTACTAATATCAAAGAAATGAAAAAATAAATGTTAAATTTCAACTTTAAATCTTTTATTTTATTAATTGAATTAAAATTATAGAATTAAATATTTTATATTTAAAAATCATTTGAATCTTAAAAAAATACTATAATCACAATTTAATTAATAAAATAAAAGATTAATTTTGCATTAAAATATTTTAAAGCATTAACCTAAGGATTCATGCTCAGGAATGTCTTCACATATAAAATAACTCAAATATCTCAGAAATGGTTCAGAAATAGCATTCTCTAGCCATAAATCTATTTTATTACGATTAACATAAACAAGTTTTTCTTTGCTTATAAGTCTATTCAAATATCCAAGTCTTAAAGTTACCCAATCATCATTGTACCAATCTTTAAATAAACTTAGGATGTGTCTATAAAAAATAACGTCGCTTGAATTGTTTGATTTATCACTTTGGTTGCTTTTATGCCAATGTTTTACTAATAAGTTTATGTTACGGTAAATTACAACACCAAAGGGTTCAAAAGCATTAAAATTACCATCAAGATTATCACACCAGCATTTAAAGAGTACATCATACAAATATTTAAGAATATAATCCAATAATTCATAAACAAACCATAGCTTACCACTCTTCATAACATTGAGGATTACATATGTAGTATTACAATGAATAACAGTAGCACTCGTGTGTACTGAAATATAGAAAAAATACTTTACCAAACAAAGCAATCCTTTAGACATTTTACATTCTTTGTAAATATCTTCATTTGTCATATCAGCATAATTGAATGAAAGATCTTGAAATGAGTTTATGCTTTTTGCATTAAGTGCTGATAATTTAATAGAATCTGACTGCTTTTGTACCCATAGAAATTCTTCATTTAATGTTTCAACAAAGTTAAATACTTCACAACCACATGTTGAATAATCAATTTCATCAAGTAAATCACTAAAGTAAGCCTCTTTAAAGATTTGTACCATCAATGCATCCTTATAAAATTTCTCTCCTTCATAGAAAAAAGTATTTTTATTTCTACACTCAATGCATTCCATTCTTAACTTAGGAAATAATTTTACTTTATTTTTAAGTAAAAGAATCACACAATTAAATATTTCTCTGCTTAAGAATTTTGATTCAACTGTTAGCATTAAATTAAGTATTGTATTTTTATAAGGTAAAATAAGTTTAATTACATTTCCATTGTTTAATTTGAATTTATAATTTATCATTCTTTTAAGAAATATAAAAATTAATTCCATTTCAGTATCATTCAGAGAAATTGCATGAAATGAATTACTGGATTCACTACTTTCTTCTTGGTTTGTTTCTATTTTTCTTTCAGATTCATCTGATATTCTATTGCTATTTGTTACTAATAGATTTATTAAGGATTCTTCTAACAAAGAAATATCTAAGGATCTTAATTCATCAATAATTTCACTTTTACCTCTTTTCATTTCAATTTCTAATAAATTTATTTCTTCTTTTATTTTCATTAGTTCATCCTTTGGTATAAAAGGTTTAAATATGTAAAAAAGTAAACCATTAAATTGCATAAGTTTAGGATGTATGCTCTGATTAGTAATTGAGTTCATAAGTCTTATGGAGTTATAAGAGAAAAAGAGTTCCTTAAGGTAATTAAAAGGAAACCACACAACAGAAGAAGGAAATTGATTAATTAATAAACCTAATACCTTTGTTAAATTAATGTATTGTATTATTTCTGTGGAGTATTTCTCTTCGTGTGATATTTTTGCATAAACATGATTTAAATAAATTTTATTCCTTAGTAATTGATATGCTTCTATTTCATCAAATATGATTGGATCAATGGCTAAATTTGATTTATAACTGAATAGTTTTATTAAATTGTACATATTTTTTGTATTTTTAATCAATTTTTCTGAATACTCTGTTACATCTGAAGAAACATATTCATAAAAAAGTGATGTATCTATAAACATGTAATGTTTTATGACATCTTTTATTGTTCTAGAAAAGTAATCCACAACATGTGCTGTTTGTGCTCTAAAATCAGGTAAGCTAACTGTTGCTAATAAATTGTAATGATAAATGTTAAATTCTTTTTTATATTCTAATGATGAAATTTGTAGCATAAAGGGATATGTTTATTATTTAAATATTGAATAAGAAATATTAATTAATGATTTATTTTTAAAAAAATTTAGTAATTAAAATTTAAATAAATTGTTTAAATTAAGAATATTTATTTTAGGTATAAAATTATACGTATTTATTACAAGCTATCAATAACCTATTACTTTTATACAATATTTATTTTTTTTAATACAACGTTTATTTAGAATATATAAAGAATATTATATTAGAAGTTTACAAGTGTAAAATTTTTAATAAAAAGTTTCCATAAAAGATGAGATTCAATTAAATTTTGAATATTTATTAAAAAAATGTGACTATTTAAGCTTTTATTTAATTTTTACTTCTTAATCCAACCTTCCATGACTATGGAATTTTATCTCAAATAAATATGTGCTCTTAAATTTGATAAAGTAAAATATAAATTCATGATAAATGTAACATAAAAAAAAATTAATAATAGAATATTTAATTTTAACATTTAATCATAGGCTGAGCGCTACAATTTTTACAATGCATCTTCTTTAAATAAATTAAAAATAAGGATTTTATATTTATACTTAACTAATATATGCTTTCATAAAATTCTATTTTATTTATTTATAATTTATCCTTTGTGCTATTTATACGAGCTAAGTTCTGATAATAACTATCTAAAGGTTTTTAAATCCACATAACTATAGTCACCAAGGAGCTTTCATTCATGTGGATTTATATGAGCTAGCCGTATCCTCCTCTTAAACTCATTAGTGAATTTGAACATCTTAAAATTCTAATAAATAATAGAATTCAAAGATTTAATCGATCTAAGTTAGCAATTAAAAGCCATATTCTTTAAAAACACTATATTTTGCTTTCCTAGAGTTAGAAACCATGTTAACAATATTCTACCTTATTGTTCCAAAAATTAGATCGACATTCAAAAATGCAAGAGATCTTTTACTAGATTTTGAAACAGCGCTAACTAATTTTTGAAAGATATTATTATCTTTTTACTTATATTTTAATAAATTTATAGAAGCAATACAGAACTAAAAAACTATGTGCATTATTCTGGTAAAAATATATTTTAAGGATTTGAGAACCACCTGATATCTGCTTAGTAAAATTTGAATTTAAGCATTTAATCCATAATATTAATGTTACAAGATCAAATAATTATAAACCAATAATTAAGAAAGCAAGTATTTTTTAGCAAATCTTTGATAAAACAAGAATGCATTTATTTTTTTTGCAACATTCTTTTGTTAAATACAATTTATATTTGATTTTAAAATGTAAACATTCCCATAATTAAAATTTATTAGTTTTCAACTCCACAAAAAACTTAAATTATCTATTTTAACGGAAGCATTAAAATTAATACCTTATATATTACATCCAAAGGTTGAGTTATCAAGTATAAAAATACTATAAATTTTATATTAATAGATATAAATTTATAACGGTATAATTTTTGAATCACTTATATTACTTATATATCACTAATTCTTGTATATTTATGCCCTGTTCACACTAAAATGACTTATAAAGTAAGTGTTCTAAATAAATACTTTTTGTATTTTTATTATGTTTTAAATTTTATTTATGCTTTTTTTAATTCGTTTCTTTTTGCCTTGAAAGTCATAGGCTTGCTTATATTTTCAATTAAATACTAATAGGGTTAGAATATAAAATATAACCCTTTTTGTAAAACATTACAATTTAAACCAATAATTTATCATTTAAGTTATTAGAAAGGCAGTATAGCCTAATGAGAATAGGAAAGAAGATGTTTTCTAAATAAATTAATATAATTTTTTATTTTTATAACTTATTATTAAGCATACCTTCTGTGAAGAGTGATCAAAGAAATACAATTAATAAAAATATCAATAAGATATATTGTAATTTTATAATTTCTATAAAACAACCGTGGTAAACCCACAATA